TTGATTTTAATTCCAGGTAATAGGTGCAGCTGGAGGTCCAGAAAAGTGTGTCTTACTGAAAAGAAAAGGAGCTGACCATGTAATAGATTATACAAAAGAGAGTATTCGAGATAAAGTGAAAGAATTTACCGGTGGTGATGGTGTGAATATTGCTTTTGATATTATTGGGGGCGATTCATTTACTGAGTGTCTGAAAAGGTGAGTTCCAGTGTTGTAGTTTAATGTATATACCTGACTGCCGTTGACTTAATTAAATACTATCTTTATTAGTCTTGAATGACAGCTAGTATTTTAGTGGATTAGCTGAAAATCCCATGATTCATTGGGAATTGTCTGTGCTTGCCTATAACTATCAATCACTGATTTTCTGATTAATGCTTGACAGTTTAATACATGGTTAACAAGTGAAAAGTCGAGTTCCTGTAGCTTTTGTATATATATAATACTGTAAATGCATTAATTATTCACTGGATTTTAATTTTCGCTATTTTAGCTGGTAATTAAAATTCACTAGATTAATCAACTTGAACCTGTAAAATAACAATGAAATTTATAGTTTCCTTGACAAATTCATGAAATTAAAACCTAGTGATTATGCTCAAAACATCAAAATAGTAAAAATAAATGTAAGTGACAATAAATGGTTTTACAGTTCATTGAATGAGTCATTGAGGTTGTTGATCACATTGTGAATTCTGTTGACAACTCCGAAATTATATTCTAGTAGTGTGTGCTCACACTTACTTCTTATGATTCTATCTCCGTACAGCCTGTCATGGGGTGGTCGCATCCTAGTCCTTGGCTTTGCAGGAGGAGACATTCCAAAAATACCAGCTAACTTATTGCTACTCAAAAATGCCTCAGCCATTGGAGTGTATTTTGGAGAGCATTTACACCATAATCCAGGTGCTATGAGGAAATCAGTCACTGATGTCTTGGACCATTTTGCAGATGGAACGATCACACCTACTATATCAGCAATTTTTCCTTTAAAGGAGGTATGATGGATGTTGTTTATTTTTTCTTATAAATTTTGATATTACCTTCCTTACCAGACTTAATAGGTATTTAGGTAGTGATGACAAAGTGCTAGAATATCTTTTTTCATTCCCTCATTGGCACTCGCTCATCCCATTTCTCAACAAAACTCTTCCAGTTGAGCAATTTTAAAATATTGTTTTGATTTCCTTGATTTTCAATAATCCAATAACCAAGGTTATGCTAAAGCGAGTACACCATTCACCTGCATGGTTTCAATACTGTGCAATACCTTATTACATGATTAACAAGTGAAAACTAGAGTTCCTGTAGCTTTTGTATATCTATGATACTATAAATGCATTAATTATTCACTGGGTTTTAATTTTGCTATTTCAGCTGATAATTAAAATTCACTAGATTAAATCAAATCGAACCTGTAAAATGATAATAAAATTCATTGTTTTCTTGACAAATTCATGAAATTAAAACACTGCGAATATGCTCAAAACATCAAAATAGTAAAATATCAATAAGTTTTTAAATAATTTATTATGTACATGGTTTTGTTGAATGTATGTATTAATTGTAAAGTCAAAATGTTTGCATTCTTTAAGTATAAATCGTCATACGACTTTCTTCAAAGTCTATAACACTGAATATATAATGTATCAGCCATGAGATGATTGTTTGACTTTAATATTTTTAATTTTAGTTATTCAATTATGGTATCATACTGTTAACTTGCTGTATGATAAACTCCCAGCATGCAGTGTGGCAAACTCCCAACATGCTCTGGGGGAAACATCCAGTTGACTTTTATGTAGAGAAATGCACATGTCCAGTACTTTGTGTCACATGCTCCCTGTGTTTTCTGTTGCTGTGTAGTCTAATAAAGATGAAACCGTTTAATGATATGGTTGAGTTCGTACTTTATTAACACAGCATATTTTAAAATGGCATAATAACATTCATACATTTAAAAGTATTCCATCGTTTACTAGTTCTTTCTTTCCAAATATCTAACATCATATAATCTTGTATTCTTTCTCGTAGATTAACGATGCACTTGAAAATATTAGCTCTCGCAAGTCAGTGGGCAAAATTGTGTTGAACGTCCTGCAACGATGAAACCAACATGATGACCATTGTCAGCCTAGCCACCAAATACCTTTAAGGAAACATATCATATAAACTTCCTTTGAGGGTGTCACAGATTTTAAAATTGTTTTTATTTTCAATCAAAATTATCTTTTCAAATTGTAGGTGCATCATAGATAGAAGGTGTACCTCGCATGATGAGTACAATAAGCAATAAAACTTACGGGAGTAAAATTATAGCCTTTTTTTTTTATCCAGGGTTGCCATTCTCTTAGATGGGCCAGTACAGGAAGAAAGTAAAGTTTAATAGCATGGTAAAACTGGTTAGCATGAAAGAGGCTTTTGGGTATGGGAGGCTTCATTTGATTTGTACATGTAAAACAATTTTTTTTTTTTTAATTTTTCTTTTTACCAAAAAATGAACTTCTGGAGCACTGTGAGAGGTGATGGTAATGAAAGGTTTTAGAGAATAAAATATCATTTCACAGTATATTGACTGAAATGTATAAAATTTATAGCTTTCTCTTATGGTGCCTTGGAATTGCATTAAAACGTCTATGTCTCTGTAATGTAAAATTTGAATTTGTTAGCACAATATTTAATGATTGGGTTGTTTTACAGAAGTCACTATCAAGTGCTTTTACAGTTGTTCATTTGAAGGGATGCTGTAAACAAATAATGTGTCAAATTTAGAATTATTTTAAGACAATTCAAACTTATTATATATGCATTTTGTATAAACGGAGGTCTTGATTGGTGAATTTATTTTAAATAAAGTCATTGGTGACCATTACTTAATACTGATTGGTGTTTATTAATTCATATTGTATATGTGGTAACTGGGGGTGGGGCATAAGCAGAACATGACTATAAAAAAGGGCTGTTTAACAATTTATTATGTCAACCCTAACCTGAATACTGGATCATAGTCAGTTGGCGCACACCTGATATAATAAAATAAATGTGATATTTACTGTATGGGGACTGTCATCTTAATGACGCATAAATCTATTTAGTTTTATGCGTCATTCAAGATGGTGGCCCCCATATAGTAAATATATTGCATCCAGTCTTGGCTAACATTTACATTGTATGCAAGCCTCACCGTGAAATGCAATAAATGACTGGTAGTAGTTCACAACTTTGCAACTCAATTTTATTATTAAAGTATCTATTTTGTGTCCAGATATATACCGGGGTAAATTATAATATTCACATACAAATAAGTGATTTTGGACATCGAGGTAGCAAGCGTTTCACATGCACTTTAAATTGTAACACCTCACATGAGTAGCATTGCGCCCTCGATAGTTATCTTGCTGTGTTTCACTTGTTTTAATCTGAATTGTATTGATACGTACAAGCTATATACATGTATATCTGTGAAGTTTGGGTATATTTTGAACATCATTTTTGCAAGGAATGGAATTAAGCAGGTTCTTAAAAAATTGTACCAGAGTAACTATTTATTTTTTGTGATCGATTCAGATTTTATAATTTTTAACTACATGCAGCCTGCATATATTAAATAAATTAAGTTATGTATGTCAACAGAAATGAATCGTGAAACCCTAAAATGGTTTCTGGGAATATACCAAGTACATATTCTTCAGACCAAACATCCACTTTACATTTATATTCATACATTTGAAAATGTACTTCACAACTTGCACAAACTTTCTTCTACACTGCCTGGAAAGATAATCACAGTAAACAAGTATGCATGCTTTGCATAGCCACAATCTTTGGCACATATAATTTTATTCACATATATGTTCAAATTTCATGTAAAAAAAAATAATGTAATTTACTCGTATTGTATACGTAGCATGGGACCCACATTGAATATGATGCAATGATCTTTGCCCAGACAATAATTACCCACTGGCACATTTTATTTTTATTAAAGTTTAGGTCAGTGCTCGCTCAGTCAAGTAACCCTCGAAAACTTATTCAAATGAAAATTCTCCATATGCAAGATTAGTGCCATATCTGTTTTAAGTTCAAATCCACTTCATTTCTATCAAAAGTGATTCTGATTCTCAGAGCAACTTCTTTCCTTCTTCATTGATGGATATTTATCACAACTTTACCGGTCTATTTACGAGATGTGATATATTCAAAAGCTTCATTGATCTGCAATAATGAATATATACATCATTGTTAGATGTTAGAATTGATTAACATATTAAAGTGACACTGTAATCAAAACTTCACATGTACCTATTCTACAGTTCCATTCCAATCAGAAAATAAACGTAACTATGACCAAATAGTCGAAAATATCACTACTAGTATTTACCAAAAATTACCAAAATTATTCATAAAAAATAGAGAATTGAAGATATCATCATCACAAAATGAACAAATCTAAGAGCGGTCCACATGTAGTTCCTATATACCGGTATATAATGCAATGTTGCATGGGAGATATTAGATTTCATAATAAGTTTATTTTTGCACTCGCTATAGTTGAGAAGCAATTTACATCAGCGATGTAATCACAATTTTGGATGGCTTAAAATCATTTTTTATTATAGCCTACCTTTTCTAAGGGAAAAGTTTCTGAAATTGTAGGTGTGATCTTTCCATCTTCAAAATGGTCCAAGACATCAGTGACTGATTTCCTCAGAGCACCTGGATTATGGTGTAAATGATCTCCCCAATATACTCCAATGGCTGAGGCATTTTTCAGTAGTAGTAAGTTAGCTGGTATTTTTGGAATGTTTCCACCTGCAAAGCCAACAACTAGGATGCGACCATCCCATGCCAGGCTGTGGGGAGACGGAATGTGGCATTTTTATTAGGTGAATATAGTAACAGTGCATGGTTGTAGCTAATGCAGCATACTGTTAAGATATAGAAGATATATATTCTGAAATTAAAGCAAACTTGGATGGTAAGTATATTCTCAATTTCATTTTAATTCCCAAGAACTGACAGCAAGGGTAAAATTGGAATGTCTCCTCATTAGAAATGTTATATAAATGTTAAAAATATCGGTACCATACTTGCTCTATTAAAAGCACAAAATAAATGCGTACATACACCAAAAAATGCTTTTATTGTATGATGTGGGTATCATTAAAATATGACTTAATATCAACCATTTATCAATACACCTTTGTCATTTACACAAGCATATGCGCTAGTAATAAAGCAAATATGGTAATCCTCTAAATTGCATACTAAATTGATATCTGGCTCGTAAATACATGACCAGAATAAAATGCTTGATATGTAAATTTCTACCATATATCAATTAAAGACTAGACAAAATGAAACAACTTATCATAAAACCAAGAAAAGATGATGCAGTAATATAACAATATGATATACAAGAGTTCACACCACTCTCATACTGTTAAACTATTATGGTTAGCAGGTTATTGTGAATATTGAGTCGAGTGTTCAAATAATTACTCAGTTCAAAGTTAACTTGCCTTTTTAGGCATTCCGTAAATGATGTTCCTCCAACATTATCAAAAGCAATATTCACACCTTTCCCACCAGTAAATTCTTTCACTTTTTCTCGAATACTTTCCTTTGTATAATCTATTACATGGTCAGCTCCTTTTCTTTTCAGTAAGGCACATTTTTCTGGTCCTCCAGCTGCACCTATTACCTGGAATCAGCAGAAAACATAGTTAAAATAAGAAGGCTTTGCCACTATATACTGATGAGATATCATTTTAAATATTGAGAATACAGTTACCAAAAATTTATTCACGACCTCTTAATGTTGTGAGATGTTTGAAAGCAATATTGTTAGTTAAGTGACACACTGATTTAAAATGTAGAATATACCAAACCTTCCATAGCAAAACATACTTTAGCATTATAAACATTCTTTGCAATATCCACTGCTGCCAATCCCACAGCACCAGCTGCAGCTGTGACTAACACTGTCTCACTGAAATCAAGGAAATTGAGCTAATATAAATATCAAATAATACAATTTGGGAGTGTTTTACAACTCTACTTGCTTATTCTGTTAGAAGGCAAAAGATAGCCAGGCATTCTGCAATATATTGTCAATTATATTATACCAGTATATTGATGGTGTTAATCCATTGATTTGATTGGTCCAAACACAAAATTTGCATATGCAATCCATGGTATATTGGCTGATAATGCACGGCTAAACCAAGTGGCCCTGGAACATGAATTGACTACAGATTTAATACGGAAATACATAAAACCGGTATTATTTGATTTTTAGGGAAATATAGTGGTTGAATTTTAGAAGAATATTGAAAAAAATACTGAATTAAAAACATCTGAAAAGTTATATAACAATAATATTGCTTTTTGTTAATGGTGGGATCCAAGTTGTGAGCGTCGGTCGTTGGGTGATTGTCGTTCGCCACACAAACCTAAACCACCGTCCCTTAACACCGTGAGGTGCCTACACGAACGCCAGAACGCTATGTTCTCAGTGTTGTTACTTTGAGATGGATTGCGAACTTCCAACAAAGAAAACATGATCTTTAAGTACAAGATATAATTGAGGGATTTAATGACACAAAATTGCAAAAAACTATGAGTCAAAGGCAAAAATGTATGCCACCAATAACACCCGGTGTCCGATAGCGGCAGTTGACAAAATTGCAGTGCACCCAGGTAATTGCCATCTGTTTCAAAAAACACGGGACAACGCAGGATTCGACGACGATATATGGTATTGTAATTCTTCACTATGGGTAAATAAATTACAGGAGATGATGAAGGTAATTTCGAAAGCCACAGATTTGTGCCGAGTGTACACCAACCACTGTATTAGAGCGACGGCGTGCAAAGTCTTTCGGCCGGAGTTGAGACAAGGCATATCATGTACGTGTCACAAAAACGATGCGAAAATCCGATCTTACACCATCAAACTTACCCCAGAACAACGACAAAACTTGTCAGTCATACTGTCACAAAACTTTGGTTATATCAAAGGTATCCAGGTCAGATGTTGGAACTGAGGTCGCTGTGCTGGTCGCCGTACATGATACACCGCGTCCCGCCGCATACCGCTAAACGTCAAATATCCACAGTTACTAGTATGATGAGTCACAAAACCGGTTTATTTCACAACTGTACTTTCAATGGGCAAATTACAGTCCAAATTGTACAAAAACCGGAATGAAAACGTGGAAAATCTGTTGTTTAAATGATCAAACTGTAC